AGCAGGACTTGTGCATGCAATGTGTTACAGGTTCTCAGCTGATGCAGGCACCTGGGAGTGATACATGGGATAAAACATGGCAAACTTGGCAAAGCAGCTAGCAGGACTTGGCCAGTGTCCTCAGGGGAGGTTCTCAGCAGCTGCTCAGGAGAAGTATTTTGGTGTTACCAGGAAAAGAGAATACCAGTGGAGAAGATTGCAAGGATAAAAACAGAGGGAAGTCAGCTAGTAGGCATTTGGTTTTTCTGTAAGCTCAACTGAGCAGGCCACCTCTGATCCTGCACACTTTGTAAGCTGCAAGTGTCAGAGGAGCATGCTTGTGCAGAATTAAATCATTCCAGTGCTTAGCACATACATATTTCCCATGTTCGTTTGTCTTGATAGCTTGACAAATTCCATTGTCTCAGCTATTAAGGCTAGCTCCAGAAGTTTTGTAAATAAATCCCATAAAAGGGCTGTAAACTACCCATGTTCTTAGGGTATAATTTTCCACAGCTGGTGTGAATGACTGAAGAGGTGTGTAAACAGACATAAACACAATTTCGAGCAGTGCTTTTTTATAATCTTTTGATAAAGACGGTACCTCTTGCTCACCTTCAAACGAGATTTCTATAGCTCATTCTAGGCTTTGGACTACTTAATCCCCTGAGTTGTTTGCTGCTTTCTTCTGAGGACAAATAAAAATACCTGCCATCTAAATTCTCCCTGGAAGTATAGGTAACACATCCTTCCACATCCCTCTGAATCATATATCTGTACTGTTAAAGTCTCTCTCAATAGACTGAAATCTTTAAGAAAAAGAAAGTCTGAAAAGAAGGATTAAAAACTCAACATCATTTTCCACAGCTAAAGGGCCCTGTGCATTGGTCCTGTTTCATTTAAAGTCTGGAATGCTTATGTTGATTGGTTTGGGGGGTTGGGCATGGGGCTTTTTTTCTGTGAACAACTTCAAATTTCCATGAATCAGAAACACATTTAAGTTTTGGAAAACAATTGTTTGGCAGCTGCTTTTACAAGAAAACCATGCTGTACACACAACTCCAGACTGTGCTACAAAGACCCTTCAGGTTGGATTGTACTGAGCAATGCAGGCCCAGTGTAAATATTTGAGCACACAGTGCCAGGGTCTTTGACGCAGTTTACATGTAAATGTGATAGTCCGTTTGCACTGATTAGTTTCTCCTCCAAGGAAATCTGTGAGTAAATCCAGTGGGGGGATCATATTTTGAGACTGTCCAAGGTGGCTGATTTTTTCAGCTACAGAACCATAACTGGTTCAAAAAGGGTTGCATGGCTGTAGGCAGGTAATGCAGAAGCTTAATACTTGTGCATGAAAGCAAGATTAAGTAAAACTGCTGAAGTGACTGCTCAGTCCACTCAGATAAAGCCACATCAGAGTTATTCACTCCTTCCAATGATATGAAGGGGCAACAGATGACAATTAAGTGTTCAGTCATTACAAAGTACTTCAAAACTAATTTAGAGATAGCATAGCCCAAAGAGATGCTATTTTTTCATTTAATGCAGGTAACACACTAAATTAACCGAGTCACTAAATCCATTAATGATATAGGTTATTTTTCAAATCATTAAAAGTCATAAGAAATCATACTTGCAGACTGTAGACTGTGTTGTTTTTCCCCTGTAAAGTACTTGCACTTGCTCAACATGAGAGAGAACCGAGCCTTTTCCAGAGCTGAATATTGACTCAGCATGGCTATAAACATCATACACTCACTCCAAAGCACCTGTGGAGCCCACTTTCCAGAGGTGTTGAGAACACACCCACTAAGTAAAAACCTGTCCCTTTGCAGGGGTGGATACAAAATTGCCGAAGTGGGTATCATTTGAAAGACTCAGCCTAAATTTCAGAAGAATTATAGTACTAATTGTCAGTGAGAGTTTGGGAATTCCTGCAATTCATAAGTTCAGACAAAGTGTTCAATATTTAACCATGTGCCTAAGAACTAAGACACACTTACAAAGAGAAATGCATAAAATCTTATTCCTTTAGCTTTATTACATTTTAAGATATAAAGTCGACAATGGCAGCATCAAAAAAATCTCATTTTATAGCTTCAAGGGTCTCTGCAAACATCCTCTATTTACTCACAATGACCACTAGTTAGCTTTTGGAAGATTAGATAGGAAGTCTCTGTGGCACATCATGTCACATCATAATGAGGAAGGAAACTAGGAGAATTTTGGAACAGAAGAGAGAAAGTTGGTTTTGGTTTTCTGACATAAACCCTTACAAGCGAGTGTCATACATTTCCATTTGTCTGGTAAAGACTTGTGGTAAAGACCATGGGGAAATGCAAATATAGGAAGTAACATCTGTAAAATCCTATTTTCAAATCTCAGCACTATCAATACACAGAACTTGCTGTTCTCTCACACTCGGTGGCACAATATATGCTGAATTTTCAATGAAAACAGGAAAAAAAACAACCCTTATTTGATTTATCTTCAGTATATATTTTGTCTACATTTTGCTTTTCATTGAATTGCAAAGACCTGAAGTTACATGTTTATTTGGGTCTTCTTTGGGTCATGAGTTTTTCTCATACATCCAGCTAAACTTAGATTATAGTTCACTGTTACAGAAAGCACTTCAAAGTATACACAATATGCAAACGGATTCAATCCCTTAGAGTTTAGAATTTAAGTTACCTTCAAAAGCATTGGAGAAATAGGGACAAGGTGTGCTAGGATTATGTCATTATGATGAAGTACAGAAAATGTTTTTAGCACGGGATTCAAAAAAGCCATTTCAGACATATATTAGTCAAATTTTCATTTGACAACCTTTTTTTTTTTTTTTTTTTTTTTTTTAAGTATTCCAAATTGCTGCAATAATGAGCCTTTGGCTAGAGGTTAGGTACAGATATAATATGGGGGAAATTCTATATCTGAGGAAATGCATTCTTGGTGTGTGTCTGAAGTCACACAACTGTTGAGGATGTGAGGGGGAGAAGAGCAGGCAGTACGTGGCAATCATGTAGTACGTGGCCTCCTTCCCTTGTCAGTTTGATCGTCCTCAGTGCTGTTACACCGCGCAGTCAATGCCAAACGAGACTATCATTTCACTTGACTTGACAAGAGCAAGCACAGTTTTGCCTGCAGCTGACTAGAACCCTCTCCAGGAGTAAACTATTTATTATATCGACTCTTAAGCTTCATACAAAAAGTAGAATAATCCCCATGGATTCAGTTACAACCTTTCTTGTGGGTTTTGCTCATAGGCTTCCTATAGCAATGTAGCAAAGTACCAGTTAGCCTTAACCTTGCTTACTTAGAGAGCCAATAGTACGTGAAACAGACTGTTAAAGTGTACAGTTACAATATATGGTATAAGGTATAACTCATTGAAACCGCAGATTATCCCCATCAGATGTTCAGTGTTTGCCAAGCTGAATTAAATGGGATTTCTAGAACTGAAAGGATAATTTTGGGATACCTCAAAATGGCTGAACAGCTCAAAGAAATCAGAAAATGTATTTTGCTTTGTGTTTTTGGCCGAAAAGAATATTTCCCTCTCTTTGTAGAAAACACCAAAATACTTCAGGTTACAATCATCAGAAAGACTGGGAATTTCTTCTTACAGCTGAATAGATAAATGGCAAAGATTCCAGTTTTGTACTCTTTTAAGGCTCAGTTTTTGCTCTCAGTATGTGTCATGTTCTTACCAGGGAAAAGAAAGGTTGCTCTTCTGTGATGTCCAGAGAGCAGAGGGAGTAGTTAAGTACTAAGATTGCAGCATTTTGTACTGTTTATGAAGATGCTTACGAAAATTATTTCCTGCTATCAAAAAGACACAGTGTCCAAAAATGACGTTCCTTTTATAAAATCACATCATTGGAAATACTAAGGGTTCTCTCTTCTCCTGGACAAACAGCCTCTGTAAGGTCACACAACCCTCTAGACATAAGGACAAAGACATTTTTGGACGATGATGTGTAAGTGTTCTTCACACACTTTCTACATTATTTGCACTTTCTCTGTTTGCATCATTACTCTGAGAAGTTTATTAGTAATACAGGATAGATGACTATAAGCATTAAAATGTTACGTAGGAGACATTAGAAGTCCATGTTTATCTCTGCTGAATGAGACACTGAAGACTTGCTTATCTCTTCACTCTTTTCCAGTGTGACTTCTGTGAGACTGCATTTTGATCTTCTACATGTTGCTACTCTTCTAGCAACATGTAGTCACTTTGTTCTATGGCTTAGGATCCTGAAAGGTTTGATTCTATTCCTCTGAAATCTGGTTGAAGGAATCATCTACTTTGTAGAAACCCTGTTTATATTCCTTGGTAGGTTTTTGCATGCAAGTAACAATTAATTGATGTGATTGTGAAGGACCAATGCTCCCTTGTATTTAGAGGCTGCTTAATGTTTTGTTTTCACACCATAAATTTAGTGAAAATTACACAAGTTTCTCGAAAATGTAATAATAAAATTTCACCACTGCTTTTTAAACTGCATTCTTCAATATCACGTTTTTATAAAGTCAAAAACTATTTTAAAATAACATATGACTCTGGAGAAAAAGTAAATGGTTTACTTTTGAAATAATATTACAATACTTTAATAATAAGAGTCTGCAGCTCTGAAATTGAAGTGGATGTCAGTCTCTTTTCCCAGGTAACAAGGGAAAGGACAAGAGGAAATGGCTTCAAGTTGTGGCGGGGCAGGTTTAGATTGGATATTAAGAAAAACTTCTTCACCAAAAGGGTTGTCAAGCATTAGAACAGGCTGCCCAGGTCCCTGGAGATATTTCAAGGGTGTGTAAATGTGGCACTCAGGGACATGGTTTAGTGGTGGACTTGGCAGAGTTAGGGTAATGGTTGGACTAGATCTTAGAGGTCTTTTCCAACCTAAACAATTCTGTAAGTCTAGAATTCAAATAAATGACACCTATACAAAAGGAATCATACATGTTCCTAATATGAATAGAGAAATGAATAAAATGAAACATAATATGATTTTAAAAGAATGACCATATTTATTTTCTATTAAAACAGACAGTACATCAAGGTTGAAAATATAAATATGAAAATTATTGCACAGTTAGCCAACTACCCTGGTTTGGCAGCAATATTTTACAATATCATTGCGCAATAGTATGCTCTGGCAGATTAAACTCTACAAAAATCCATGATGTGTACCTTTTCTGTTTACATCATAAATCATCCTACAACAGTAAGATAATTGTTCTGGCGTATGTATAAAACATCATACAGTAATATGATACATGCTTTATGAAAGCCGGAAAGAAGGAAAAAAGAGAGAATGTCTCTTAATGCTTCCCTTAAACCTTTGACTCAAATTTAAGCAACAGATATTCACCTCCCCATTTGCAGTCATTTAACACAGGCAGTTCCAAGTACACATACAAATACACATATATTAAGAGACTTTGTTATAAATAGCTATTGCTTTAACAAGCATATTCAAATATACAATCTTCTGTATGTCTTTAAAAAAATAATGTCCCAGTTCAGTCTATAAAAAATATGAGTTTGTACATTCTTAATTAGAATGTGACTTGGTGAATGTCCCGAAGAGTTTGTCCCAGTGTGTGAAATAAGGAGCATAGTTTGATTTGAATTTCAGATGGTGGAGATCATGATGTGGTGCTCCTCCATACAAACCAAAAGGTACAAGTCGGTGAGTTGACCACGGAAGGTCATATCCTGAATGGTCCTCTACTGACAAAAAAATGTTTACAAGGAAGAAAATCATTTCTGTCAAAGGATGGCATCCAAGGAGCAGTGGGTTAATAGCAGCAAAAAATCCCAGTGAGAGTAACTCCCATACACTGGAATACTGTGTAGTAAGGGCAAACGTCGACACGTGCTTGTGATGCACCTTGTGGAAGGTCTTGTAGAGCCAAGGCACCCTGTGATGAAGCAAATGCCACAGGAAATATTCAAAATCAAATAGCAGCAGGCAAACTGTTACTTGCAGCAGGACCTCAGGCAGCGCTGGAGCTATCACTGGTAGATTCATTGGTCTCCAGTACCAGTGGAGAAATGTCACTGGGAAGATCAACATAACATGGTGATACACACTTTGAATAATGCAAGGCACCATCATTCCAAGCGTTGGATAGTTCTGCGGCTGGATTTTGTATTTTCTCAAGTTTGGTAGTCTAATGCTTAAGAAGTCCAGTGCAATATACGGAAGACAGAAAGCCATGTATGCTGTAAAAGAAAACAGCACTGGAAAAAATGGTGACTTGATCAATGGCTCCTTTGCTGCGACCAAGTCCCAAAGAGACTGTAGGCACAGCCTGTGCCGCCGTCCCTCCATCGTGTAGTGGAGCAGCGCTCCGTCTGGCAGGCTGCAGTTCATGCTGATCGCAGTCTGAGAGGGCTGTTAATCCCGCAGCCTTTATCTGCTCAAGAAATAGCTCCGCCCCATCAGAAATCCTCCTTACATAGTAACGTGCCGCTTTAAAGAGGAAGTTCCTTTCCTGTATACAGAGATGATATAATGCATTACAATCTCAGAGCAGAATTAGCTGGCCAAAGTAATCACAGAGCTCTACAAGAGACTCACAAAGTAGGAAACGCAAGCAGAAGTGGAGAACTCTTAACAGTGGAATTCAAAGAAAAAGGGATGGAAAATACTCCACTTAGTGCAGACACTTGAAAAATTGCTGTTTGTTACTAATTTTAAACTGCGTCATCATCCTTCGTTATCTTTTTGCCTTTAGAGGTAAGGAAATACAGATCAGCTTTTTTTTTTAATATGTGACTGCTACCAAAGATGTATGGGTACCTAAGCACCTGGTCTGACTTGTGGGTCATGTGGTCAGTAATGGATGTGTGCAAATACATGATTTCTTAATGATCCCTTGGTTATACAACAGGCTAAGTCAAAACCTTAAGGAGACCTACACTATGCTCCCAGTCTGAATGTGGTGGCTGTGACTTTTCTCCACCTACTTTTGAGGCCATGTTCTCCTTCATGCACTTGTACTTGACATGGAAAAATTTTAGAGTAGATGCAAAACTGAGCTAACAACTTTTGAAGAACAAAGTATCTCCCTGCTTTGGAGAACAATACAAGGTAACACCTCACTATGCTTCCAGACAGATACCTAGTGACAAGTATTATTGCATTATTACAAGATTCACTCCACATCTCCACAGGTCTTTGAGCAAGATGATATGGAAATCATCCGTTACCCGAGTATCAAACTAATGTAAGCAATTAAAAGGTGCACCAGTTAGACCTATATCCTTTAAAGGATCTCCCTGTGACCACAGGCAAGCACATTGCAGACAGAAACTAGCAGGCTTGACTCCTAACTTTTCTAATTTGCTAAAAATACTTTAGGGGTAAATGATGGAGGTTTTGATTTAACCACTAAGACATCACTTCTTTTGTGCTTTTAGAAAAAGAAAAACAAAGCTTTGAACACTTAGGGAAACAAAGCTTGCCATCAGCTTCCTATGAACTCACTTCTTTTGTAGGTACAGAATTTATTCTGCTGTTGGAAATGAGCTCAACTTCCTGGATGACTTTATTAGCTTGTTCAGATGATTTTAGCTCTTTGCTAATCAAAAAAGAAATCTGATGGGGGAAATGGAAGACAGATTTTCCTTGCTTCTCGATAATTAAGAATGATTAATTAGCAGTGAGCTTTTCTGAATATGCATGAACTTGTAACACTTAAGTTTGCTCTCAGTCTCAACCATTTTCTCTTCAGTAGATTCTGCTCTTAAGGAAGATTTTGCTCTTTCCTTAGGCTTCAAGGGGTTTGCTGAAATAGTAACATTAGCTGTGCTATTATTCAGGCAATCAGAATTTCTTTGTTGGAGACAGGTCTACCTGTCCCACATACATTTTGGAAACAAATTCAGATTCTTTGCTCTTGTGAAACTGTTTTGTTGAATTCAATTAATTCAGACTGCTAACTGTAGTGAAATTAAAACCCATTAAGAGACACCAATCTAACAGACGAGGATCTATATCCAAGAGCTTAATATCAATCTTCTGACTGTATTTTATCCTGATCTCTATTTCACAATAAGGACATGAAAAATGCATTTGTAACATAATCATCATCTGGGTCCGAGAATATTCATGTGATTTCAGTTGATTTATATAGCTACAATCAGAAATTAAGTTTCCCATGTGGGATACATGATTCTCTATTTCATTAGAATTATGAAGGGACTAAATTTATTCTATATGGTATTCCATGTCTGTCTAAAGGGAGATTGACAGTAGTTGCTCAACTATCTTAAAGACATTCCCCTGACTAATCCCTACAGACATGTCAGACTTTAGAACCACTGCTGCCTACAAACTAAATTTTAAAGAATAGGCATTTTGCCTGCAGTTTAGGTCATAGAAAAATATTCTGAGGTCCCTTAAGGAAGAATAACGGAGTTCTGCAGTCCTGTTACCAGTATATCCTGCAACACAAATCCCAAGCAAGGCGCAAGAGAGCAGCACTTACCTGGGAGGCTGGCGCCGCCCAGAGCCGGGTCCGCACCGAGCCTGGCCCCGCGGCAATGGGCTTCGCCACGGGAATGGGTTCCGCGGGGATGGGCCCCGCGGGAATGGGCTCCGCCGCACGGCTCCCCCCGCTGGGATCCCGGCCCCGCTCACCGAGCGGCTGCGCTCGGGAGAATGAATCCTCACGCATGAGAGAGAGCAAACCCTCATCCTCCACAAACCGTGTCCAAGCCGTTTGGCTCGGCCACCAAAATGCACTTATGACACATCTCCGTTCCGCTCGCTTCAGTTTCTTGGTCAGCGTAAGGTACAACGCGAAGAAAAGACCGAGTACATGCAGATCCTTTCCGTACCTAATTCAGCAACACAACCCCAGCTTTTTTCACTCAACTTACAATGCTGCCAAACTTTCCCATGTGTTACAAGAATCTAAATGGTTCTCTCAAAAGCTCGAGACTCCTGCTACAGAGTTTAGGTTGAAGGGCACATAGTTTGGAATGAGGCCCCACAAAGGGTCTTAAATAGATTCCACATGAGCGCAAGACGCAAGCACCTACCCCAGGCTGCACTGTTAGGTACAAGCTACAAGGTAAAGTCAAATACTACCGTGGGTAGGAAAATGAGGAGAAGTTAGCAGAAAATTAGAAAACTAGAATCAACATACTGAAATTAATACAGCAGCAGAGGGAAAAATTCTTTTTTTTTCCTCCTCTTCTCCCCCTCTATATGGTAGGATTGTTGTTGTACCAGAAGTAAGGCAACATGCATGCAGTGCATGCTGAGCCTTCTAGCGGGAAAAGGGTGCTGGGGAAGAGGGATGGTACCTTGCTCAGGACCAGTACCAGGGAAGCAGGACAGCCACCAGAGCAGAGGAAGGCAGCGGCAGTCCCCTGCTCTCGTTTTAGAGGGAATCGTTACCATGCTGGGCACGCACGGTCAGTCCGAGGTGCTCACACCGCGACTCACCTGATCCCGGGGCCGGAGCTCGGGACGCTCCGATCCCGGAGCGGCGGCGGCTCCGGGGGCGGGTCCCGCGGCCCCCCCGCGCGGCCGCTCCGCCGCAACAGCGCCCCCCAGCGGCGCCCGCTGCAGCCGCGCCCCCGCCGCTCCCCCTCGGCACAGCGGGAACACCGGGCACAGCGGGAACACCGGGCACAGCGGGAACAACCGGGCACAGCGGGAACAACCGGGTACAGCGGGAACACCGGGCACAGCGGGCACAGCGGGAACACCGGGCACAGCGGGCACAGCGGGCACAGCGGGAACACCGGGCACAGCGGGAACACCGGGCACAGCGGGCACAGCGGGAACACCGGGCACAGCGGGAACAACCGGGCACAGCGGGAACACCGGGCACAGCGGGAACACCGGGCACAGCGGGCACAGCGGGAACAACCGGGTACAGCGGGAACACCGGGCACAGCGGGAACACCGGGCACAGCGGGTACAGCGGGAACACCGGGCACAGCGGGAACACCGGGCACAGCGGGCACAGCGGGAACACCGGGCACAGCGGGAACAACCGGGCACAGCGGGAACAACCGGGTACAGCGGGCACAGCGGGAACAACCGGGTACAGCGGGAACAACCGGGTACAGCGGGCACAGCGGGAACAACCGGGTACAGCGGGAACACCGGGCACAGCGGCACAGCGGGCACAGCGGGAACACCGGGCACAGCGGGTACAGCGGGACGCGTCCTCCGGCCAAATGTCCGGCGGTAACAAAGTGTACGCTGCTTTGCAGCAGGACAAAACGCGGTAGGCACGGCCTTATAGGCGTACGGGTTTGCAGGGAAAGAGGAGCTTGGCCTATTTACCACTTTTAAGCTTTTTCATGGGTTGGACTCAACGATCTTAGAGGTCTTTTCCAACCTAAATGATTCTATGATTCTAACCTATAGCCCCCTTGTATTTAGTTGTTCTGTATATTCAAGTGCAGGATCTGGATACAAAGAAGGGACGTGAGACTCCTCACATCCCAGGCAAGCAGCTTGAAACCTGAGCCCGTGGGGATGCCAAGAATTTGAGGATGAAGAACACATATTCCCCTTCAGTTTTGATTAAAAACTTTAGCCTAAACACTAATACTTTTCTCAACAGAACTAATCCGTTGTCTTTATCAAATTCTTAATCTCCACTTCCCCAACTAAGCTTAACTCTGTTTTACCACCTCTTCCTATGCTGAGGCACTTCTACGTTGCTCGAGTTGATGCATATAAACTTTTGCTGGCATTATCACTAGCCATGGAATCACTAACTAGCCTAAAAATGCTCAGCCTGGAGCTAGTGCATCACTCAGTACACTCCATTAACATACACACACTCCACCATCTTAGGCCTTCTGCATGAAATGAACAGTGTGAATGTACTTGCAGATGACTACAAAAAAATTCTTTTCAAATTCCAAGCACAAACATGAGGACAAAAACATGTGTCTTTACATCTGTGTTAGCCCTCACAGGTCCAATTGTTGTCATCTCTAAGTCAAAGCCCTGGATTGTGTATTGTCTTCAGATGCACACAGGTCCCTTCAGCTGAACAGGGCCTACTTTCTTCTGGCTTTCTAGTAAAGTTTGATCATGTCACTAAATGCTGAGACCAAGTTAGATGAAGGTGTCCAGTGCCCTCTGTTAAGCTGGTGCACTTTTATATTATCCAAAGCTGATGTCCAGCCAACCTTCAACATCATATATATACACACACCTGTAACACACAGATGTTTATAAAACAGGCACTAAGTAGGTAAGATTTGCTTAGAAAAATGTACCACCCACCGCTGCTGATTCTTATTAGATCAAGCTTCTCGCTCTTCTCCTCTGTGTTCAAGGTGTTTTATTTTGCACATTCCTTTCCACTGACACCTCTGCAACCTTTTGTCACGCAGTGCTTG